CCCCCTCCCTCCCAGAATACCCCCTTCCTCCCAGTAACCCCCTCAATATCACCCTCCCTCCCAGTAACCCCCCTCAATATACCCCCAGTAACCCCCTCAATATAACGCTCTTCAAGTATACCCCATCCTTCCCAGTAGCACTCCTCTCTCCCAATATACCCCCTCCCTCCCAGCATCCCCCCTCACTACACCCCGCTCCCTCCCAGTAACCCCCTTCCTTATCACCCCCTCCTAGTAAACCCCCTCCTTTACACTACCGCCCCCTCTCTCCCAGTATCCCCCCTCCCTTACACCATGACCGCCTCCCTCCCAATATCTCCCTTCACTACCCTCCTCCCAGTATACACCCTCACTCACACTATCACCCACCTCTCTCCCAGTATCCCCCCTCCCTCCCAATATTCCCCAGTCTTTCCCAGTATTTCCAAGTCCATACCAGTATTCCCCACTCAAGTATTACCTCATCCCTTTCAGTACTACCCTCTCCCTTACACTATCACCACCCTACCTTACACTATCACCCCACCCTCCCAAAGTATTCCCTCACACTATCACCCCACCCCCTCCCAGCATTCCCCCCTCACACTATCACCCCTCCCTCCCAGTATTTCCCCACTTACAGTATTAACCCCTCCCTCATAGTATCCTTCCTCCCACACAGTATTACCCCCTCGGCTACCCCCTTCCCTCACACTATCACCCTCACAGTATCAGTGGCGGATCCAGAGGGGGGACAATGGGGCAATTGCCCCCCCCCCCTGAGTTTCCACCCTGCCGGCTAATGTAGGGCTGGCATTGTCCAAGTGCCAGCCCTGCAATGTGCCTACGGACCGGGAAGAGATATCCCTCCCCGGTCCGCAGGCACTGTGCTGGCAGCCGGCAGGGTTGAGAGGGAGAGAGGACCCGGGAGCTCAGCCTCTCTACCACGGCAACGCTCCAAATCATACACACACTACACACACTGCCCCACAAACACTGCCCCCATACACACACTACACACACTGCCCACAAACACTGCCCCCATACACACACTAAACACACTGCCCTGCATCCCATACACACACTGCCCCATACACACACTGCCCAACAAACACTGCCCCCCATACACACATTGCCCACACACACATACAGTGCCCCCCCATACACACTCCTCCAAACACACATACAGTTCCCCCCCATACACACTCTGCAACTCTCACACACACACTGCCCCGCTCACACACTGCCCCACACATACACTGTCCCTTAACCCACACACTGGAACCCTGACATAAACTGCCGCCCTAACGCACTCGCACACACATTTCACCGCTCACACACACACACACTGCACCTTTCACACACACTTCACCCCTAACACATACCACTGCTCCTATACCCTATATCCCAGCAGACCCCAGGTAAGTTGTCAAACTGTTCTTAAACGGTTTGACTACTTACTCTGAGATGGGATCCTGGCACTACTAGCACCATAACTACTACACTGAGCTGTAGTGGTGATTGTGCCTGGATTATTTCTTTAAATAATCAACAAGTGCCCCTCCCGAGATCAGGCTCTGGATCTGCCCCTGCACAGTATTCCCCCCTTCTACACACCATGACCCCGCTCCCTCACAGTATCACCCACCTCCCTCACAGTATATCACCTCCCTCTCAGTATTACCCCCTCCCACACACTATCGCCCCTATATCCCACACACTATCACCCCCTCCCTCACCAGATCACCCCTTCCACACACACACAAACTGTCACCACCTCACACACACAGTATCATCCCCTTCACACACAGTCACTCTCCCTTATACACACTGTCACCCCTACAATGTGGTGTCACCATACTCATACACTGTCACATTCCCACACATTGTCACCCGTCCTCACACTGTCACCCCCTCCACACTTTCAGCCCTTTCATGCATCCACACTCTCACTAACCACTCCTAGTCCTGTTAATCTCACCCCCTCCAAACTCACCTGCCCTCTCTTTGCCACACTCATTAACCCCCTTAATCCTGTCACACTCCTTCCTCCAACCATGCCACATTCACCCTTCACTCCAAAACTGTAATACTCACCCCACCCCAACTATGCCACACTTACCGTCACTTAAATCCTAAATTTTCATTTTTGTTTTCGAGAACCCCTTCACACCAGTACTTATTTATACACGACTGCCGGGCTATGTGACCATACCCCACAATTGTGTATAAACGATTGGCATAATTGCAAATTAAATTTATTTATTGCAAATTAATTTTGTTTGCAAAATGTGCTACAACTATAGCCAGAGAGCTCACAATGCAGGGGCACAGGAAGCTCTGACATTGCAAGCTTCTGAACCATGAATGCAGAGACTGACTCTCTGTATCCAGTGCTGCAAGCACGCCTTTCGATATAGCAAATGCTCCTTACACTTATACAAAATACAACCCTACTATTTTATACTTTGGGTGTAAGTGGGGCCTCATGCTTGAAGTTCGCCTAAGGCCTCATAAAGTCTAGAGCCGCCTCTGGTGTTGCACTACAGCTTGTTCTCCTTATACATAAATATTCTATATCCAATTCTCTGTGAAAAACAGAATCTTTCCAGAATGCTGGTGAAGCCCTTCATAAAAATAGCACATTCTTCAAATTGAATGGTAAATTACGGGTCTTCCTACAATCTCCTTTTTTGAGGGGAAAATCATCAAAATGTGTGTGTCAGATCAACTGAAAGTGCAACTTTCATGTAATACGGTCTATAATCCTTTTCAGTCTAGCTTCAGGAATCATCACAACATTTAAAAAGGATTCTTTGTTTCTTAAATGATTGTCTAATTGCAAGAGACAAGGGTGATTATTCAGTCCTATACCTCTTGGATCCTTCAGCTGCATTTGACACCACTGGAGATGTTATTATAATACAGTGTTTACAAGACTTATACAGTCTGTGTGACAGAGTTCTGAACTGCTTTAAATCATTCCTAATTGGTGGATCACAGACCAATCTGACATGTTCCTTCTGTCTGTCCGCCATCCTTTGTCTGCCTGTCCGTCTGTCCATCCTTCTGTCTGTCTATTCATCTATCTGTCCATTCATCCAATCAACCACTTTCCTTGCTAGCAGCAGATCATTTTTTTTGTATCAAAAAACCTCCCCCTCAACCCCCCTCCCCCCTTTCCACCCAATATGCCATGAATAGTCAAATTTGGGACAATTAAGATCTTGATAAAATTCTTAAATCTCAAATTATTATTATTACTTTTGCCTGAATTTATAAAACACCAACAAATTCCTCAGAGCTTTAAAACTGGGGAAAAGAACAGTACAATATAAAATATCTAAAATGCAATTGTTATAATAGAACTTTTGGGTAAAATATTCATATTTTATCAAGTATTGGGCTCAATGCTATTTTGTTTATGCAATATGCAATTTTGAATGGAAAGAAGGAAATATAAGATTTCAAGATCTGAAATTTAATTTTTTGTGTGCACACTGTTTACTTAAAGAAACACTCCAAGCACCATAACTACCATTACAGTCGACTGTAGTGGTTATGGTGCCCTGAAGCCCCTTTAATGTTACTAATTATACTGAGATGCTCCGTGCCTCCACTACACCTTACAGTAAGGATGGAAGCTCTCCAAGGCCGGTGGTGCAAGACTTACCTCATTGGCTAAGAGCGATCAGATGATGTACTGATCTCCTATGCAAGAGCTCCTGACTCTCCAGGCTGCAGAGAGAAGGTGGGAGTACAGCGGATCCCAGGAAAGAATTTAAACTGGTCTAATACAGAGGGTACACGTTATCTCTTGGCACCATAACCACTACAGCATGCTGTCATGGTTATGGTGTTAAGAAGCATTTCTTTAATGTGTATTTTGCATACATTTTGATCTTTGCAGCAGCACTATGATTAAGGAATTCATGTTCTAGGTGAGATGTCCCAAGTACTTTTAGAGTACTGTCCAGATTCCTTTGCTTGACCACCCCCGCATTCAAATGTCCCTTGTCGAACGTTAGCACTGGAAATTC